CAACAAATCTATTATAAATACCATTATACCCGCTACCCGGTTCTCTCCGAAGAACGAAAACTAGTTGGCATTTTGAATTTTAAGACACTCAATTTAGCAATGAAAGACAGGCATGACGATTGACGGAAATTTATTGAAAAAAAAATTAATTATCTTAATTTGAATACCAAGTTAAATATTGCTTTTGAAGTCTGTCAAAAAACTTGCCAGCATTTAGCCATCGTGATTGACAAAGAAAAAAAATTCATTGGCATTATTACTTTGGAGGACATTTTGGAAAGTCTGGTCGGCAAAATTGAGGACGAAAATGAAGTTTCAGCCCAAAATGAACCTTCGGAAAATTAGCGAAATAAGTTTACATGATAATCCTTGCCATTGAAACTAGTTGTGATGAAACCAGCATTGCCATTTTGAAAAAGCAAAAAGTTTTAAGTAATGTTATTTTTTCGCAAATCTGAGAACAACAAAAATACGGCGGAGTGGTTCCCGACTTAGCCGCGAAATTACATTTAGAAAATATTCAAAAAGTCTTAAAAAAAGCTCTATCAGTGGCACAAATTGAGCCAAAAAAAATTGATTATATTGCTTATACGGAAAAGCCAGGACTGGTTATTTGCCTGCAAATTGGCAAAGTAATTGCCGAAACTTTGGCTCTTTATTTAAATAAGCCGCTGATTTCTTGTAATCACCTCGAAGGCCACATTTACGCTAGTTTGCTCGAAAGCAAAGAAACGTGAAAATTTCCGGCTTTGGCTTTGGTAATTAGCGGCGGACACACGCAACTTTATTATCTAAAAAAACACTTGGATTTTGAACTGTTAGGGCAAACTTTGGACGACGCAATTGGTGAATGTTTAGATAAAATTTCTTTACTTCTGGGTTATACTTACCCCGGAGGACCGATTATTGAAAAATTAGCTTTAACCGGCAAAAATACTTATCCTTTACCTTTAACTAAATTAGATAACACTTTTGCTTTTAGTTTTAGTGGTTTAAAAACGGCTGTGCGGCGAATAATTGAAAGGGAAAAATCCGAAAATAGTCCAACAAAATTAAACATTAATGATTTGGCTTATTCTTTACAATATACTTTGGCAAAAATCTTGACTTTTAAAATTGAAAAAGTTCTTAAGGAAAAAAAAATCAACACTATTATTCTCGGCGGGGGAGTAATAGCCAACAAATATTTAACTGGTTATATCCATAATTTTCTCCAAAAAAAAGCTAAAAATATTAAACTGTTTCTTCCGCAAAAAAAATATTGTACTGATAATGCGGCAATGATTGGAATTTTGGCTTATTATAAACTACGAGAGCAAAAAAACCCTAAACTTGATTTTTCAAATTTTTTTATTTAACTTTTCTTCTTGCGCAAAGCAAGCCAAAGCAAGAAAGCAATCAAACCGCCGCCTAACAGGCAACCGCAAATAATTAAAGCCACTGTGCCACCACTTAATTTATTTTCTTGTTGTGGCTGTTGTTTATCAAATTTTTCCATTCTTTGGGCAAAATTTTCTAATTCTTGCTGATGAGCGGAATCGCCAAAGGAAAATTTGTGTCAAAGCATTGGCTTTTTACTTTTTCCTCCCTCGCTTTGCAAACTTCCTTGCTTGGCTTCTTTTTCGGCTAATTGGTTTTTGCTTTCTCTTAGTTCATAATAAATACTCTCTCTCTCTGGTCAGGATCTCGCTTCTGCTTTTCCTCTAAATCTTGGATTTTCTGCCGCAGTTGGTTAATTTCTTCTTGGAGTTGCTGAATTAGTTGGTGATTATCCTCGTTCGGCTGGTCAACTAATTCTTCGGCTCAGTTGAAAACTTTGATGTTGTTCGTGCTGGAAGCAGCCTTAACATAAAATTTCTTTTGGGCGGCTCAATTATTGAATTGTTGGGCTAATCTTTTGTAGAGTCTACCCTCCATTTCTTCATGACTAATCCCTTCATTTAAGCCAATTTGGAGGCAATCATAAATTAAGTTCTCGTCGCAAAAGCCGGCCAGTAAATTAACCATTGATTTTAAAACTCGCTTCGCTTCCGTTCTTCAAGCTGACGGAATTTGGGTGTAAATTTCGGTTTCGGTATCAATGGCTTTGAGGGCAAATTTGCGCAAGGTTTCACGAACTGCCCGAATACCCTCAACCCTTAATTTTGCGAAAAATTCTTTGGCTTTTTCCTGGGCGAGACCAGGATTGGCCGCCCCTCAGTGGAAACTTTCTCAAAAAATTTCAACGCATTGCTGAAAACTATTTTTCATTTTTTGGTAAGTGGCATCATCGATTTCGCCTGTGTCTTCCACGATGACTAAACTCTCCGCTTTTTGGCTAAAATGGCGAAGTAATTTGTTGATTAAAGTGTTGCCTTTATTGTCGCAAAGAATGTCCAAGCATTCTTTTAACCAGCGGTCTTCATTACCAAAAGTCTGGGCAAAATTCATTATTGCTTGGGCTAATTCTTGTTTTTCAGGAGTGAGTGTTCTTTCGTGAAAAATTTCTTGGAATAAGTTTTGCATCATTGACTCTCGATAACTCCGAATATTTTGGACGCTAATTGAACGTAAAACGGCTTTACTGCTCGGGCTTAATTCTCCATTTTCGTAAATTTCTTGCCCGATTTGGGCGGCAAATTGCTCAAATTGGTTAACAATGTTCATATAATTATTTTTTAGTTTATTTATTTTCCAATTTATTCTCTCTAATGGCTATTGTATTCCTTGTAAATAAAAATATTGAGTCAAAGTGATTATCAAAAATACTAGCCTAGTAAAAAAACAGAAAATTATATGAATAAGTAGCAAATTGTTTAATTTAATCAAAAACAAAACGGAATGTAAAAATCCAAGACGACGGCACAAAAACTTTAATATATGCTGAAAAAAAAATCTTCTGAGGAAAAGTCTGAAACTAATATTCAACAACAAGTTCAAGAAATCATTGAAAGCACAAAAAAAGAATTTGGTGAGGATTCAGTCAGCACCTTAGAAGAAAGTGGCTCGCGAGACGTAAATGTTTTACCAACCGGAAGTTTTTTCCTGGACCAAGCAACCGAAAAAGGTGGCTATATTTACGGAACTATTGTCGAAATATTTGGTCAGCCCGGTATCGGCAAAACTACTTTAGCTCTTCACGCAGTAAGCGAATGTCAAAAACAAGGAAAAATAGCCGCTTATATCGATTTAGAGAATAAGTTAGGAAAAAATAATGAATATGCCAAAAACATTGGTGTAAACTCTAAGGAATTAATTAAGTTTGAAGCAAGGGGCGGAGAAGAAGTTTTTGATTTCATTGACAAGAAAATTAAGGAAGGAGTAAGTTTGTTTGTTATCGATTCAGTAGCCGCTTTGGTCTCAAAAACTCATTTAGAAAAGGGTCCGGAATCACAAGGAATCGCTTCTAAAGCCCGGTTGATTTCCGAAAGGTTGCCAATCACCAATTTAAAAATGCGCGGCAAAGACGTAATCCTAATATTCGTTAATCAGGTCCGCGAAGACCTTTCCTCAGGCTTTTTTGGCCCCAAATTAACCACTCCTGGTGGTTGAACTTTGACTTTTCACTCTAGTTTAAGGATTATGCTGAGACCCAAGGAGAGAATCCAAAAAGGCACCGAATACATTGGGATAAAAACCCAGGCTAATATAGTCAAAAACAGTTTTGGCTCTCCTGGTAAAAAAACCGACTTGGAAATCATTTTCTCCCAAGGCATTCAAAAAGAGCGGGAAATTATTGACTTCGCCACTGATTCAAACATCATTCAAAAAAGCGGTAATTGATATTCTTACAAAAGCAAAAAAATCGGTAATGGGAAAGAAAATGTGGTTGATTATTTAAGGGAAAATCCCGAAATTTACCAAGAAATCGAACAAATGGTCGCCCAAAACTTTGCCACTCCTGCCGCTTCTCCTGACAACGCTTAAATAAAAAAACCGACCCACATTCAACTTAAAAATGATTATAATAAACAAAATGCCTCCGCCAAAAGAAAATCAGCACCAAAAAATTAATTTTTGAACTTTATTCGAAAAATTTAAATTGAAAGTAATTAAACACTTTTTAGTTACCACTATTTGAACAATACTCCTCGTTTTTGCTGTCGACATCGTTAACAACATTGCTACGGAAAAATTAACAGGCAATGACTACAGTACTTTATTGCCCGCAAAATTACAGCAATATTTTCCCAGTTTAACTTTAGAGAAGTTTGCTTTTTTGGGACTGCTTTTAGTCTTTTTTTGTGCTTTTACGGTTTATTTTTCCCACCTATGAGAAGAAGAATTGCGAATTAGAGGCGATCATTATATTACAAATCGCTTATTAGATAAATTTCGGCGATTACCCTTTGAAAACAAGCAGAACCGAAGCAAAGAAATTAACTTTCTCGTAGAAAAAGATACGGGTGAAGTCAGTTACACCTGGGAACATTTACCTAACCACGTTTATCATAGTGTTCTGGCGATTATTTTGGTCTTTTTTTTTCGCTGGGAAAGTTTTCAATTAATGGACACAAAAGGAATTGTTTTTTCTCTTTTTTGGCTAGTTCTAATCAACGCCGTGAGTTTTTTTTTTACTCATTTAGTGCTAAAAAACGAAAAAAAATATAAAGCAGAGTTAAACAAAGAATGAGCCACCATTAATAGAGAAACTGAAAAGGCTAATTTAATTGAAAGCATGGGTTTAACCTCCCAATATCGAGCCAAGCAAAGAAAAATCAGTCAAAAAAATAAAAACCTGCTGTTTTCTTTTAATTACACCAAATCATTAAACAAGACCATTCCCAGCAGTTGGTTAGCGGAAATGTTTCCTTATCTTTTGCTACTAGTAGTCGGAACATTTTCGGGGGCTAGGGAGAACCTTCTGCCAATGTGATTAATTTTTAAAAACTTTCGGGAAATATTTAAATGCTTTTGGGAATATGGCGAGTACGCTTCTTCTTTAGATAGAATTAATAATTTCCTCGCCCTACCCGAAAAAAATGATAATCTCCAAGGAATAGCTTTTCCCGAAAAAGTAGCAATTAAAGCAATTAATTTTGAAAAAGTAAGTTTTAAATACCAAAACAGTGCAGAGTGAATTCTCGAAAATTATACTTATTCTTTTACCAAAGGAGAAATTAACCGTTTGCTCGGGGAAAATGGCATCGGCAAAAGCACTATCCTTTACTTAATTTTGGGAGTGCTACAACCCCAGCAAGGAAAAATTTTGATTACTGGCGAGGATGGCAAAGTTTATAATCTCCAAGACATCAATTTAAAACATTGACGAGAAAATAAGGTCGCTTATGCTTCCCACGATAACTTAATTGAAGAAGGTTCCACCGGGCAAAGACAATCAACTAATCTGACCCAATTTTTCGCGAAAAAAACCCAAGCAGCAATTTTTCTTTTTGACGAAGCGGATAACGCCCTGGACCAAGAAAAAAAAAGAAACTTTGAAACTAATTTAGAAAAATTAGCCCGGGACAAACTAATAATCTATACCAAGCATTAAAGTTAAAATTATTTATATCTATGCCAACTATTAATCAATTAATCAGAAAACCTCGTAAGTCCAAAAAAAGGCACAAAAGAAGCCTCGCCTTGGCTTATGGTTGGAACTCAATCCGTCGTTGTTTTCTTCCTTACAATAGCCCCCAAAAAGCGGGAGTTTGTAAAAAAATTGGTAAAATGAAACCGAAAAAACCTAATTCAGCCCTACGGAGTTTTGCCCGGGTAGTTTTAAGCAATAAAAAAGAAGTAACGGCTTACATTCCTGGCGAAGGGCACAATTTACAAGATTATTCTAATGTTCTTGTTCAAGGCGGTCGAACGCAAGACTTACCAGGAGTGAAATACGTGATTATTCGGGGAGTTCGGGATGCCGAAGGCGTTAAAGACCGAAAACAAGGACGCTCCCTTTACGGAAAAAAGAAAGACAAAGACAAGAAAAAATAAATTAAAAACAATTATGAAAATGCTTAATAGCCCATTAAAAAAGCTAGAAAATGCCTAAAATTTAATAATATGAACCCAAACGAACAAATTAATAAAATCAAAATTACTTTATTTGGTAATATTTGAATTGCTAGATTAGTGAAATTATTGCGTTATTTAAGCGTGGTATTAGTTGGCTGATTAATTAGCAAATCACAATATTTATTCGCCGTTAGCCCTTGGCAAAATTTCCGCACGATTTTCGACTGACAAAATCGCAAAATTGGCGACATAGCAAATGCTTTTTTCATTTTGTCTTTTGCTGGCTTATTGATATTCATTTATTTTTATCTTTCCGGTCTCTTGGTGGAATGACTGTTGAGAATTAATCTTTCCGCCTCCCGGCAAAACCAAATTCTCCAAAAAAAAGTTTACGCTTTGGACGAAAAAACTAATTACGCCGTGGATAAACTGGAGAACCTGGAAGTAATTGCTGCTCGTAATTCGGCTTACGCTTCTTTGAAAGGGACTTTGTTTTTGAGCGATGGCAAGCAAAAAAAAACGATTAGTTTCCTTTGTCATTCCCCGACCAGTAATTTAGAGACTTATTTGGAAAGCAATTTCCCCCAAACTAATGTCAAGTATAAGCCCAAGACTTTCCTCACTTGAAAAAATGCCCTTTTGGTAATTCTTTTGCTCGGTAGTTTTGGTTATGGCTGTCAAATTTATAGTGACTCCAAAGAACTAAAAGACTTTAATCTTGGTCAAGTAATAAAAACCAAAGCCGACATCCAAAAAAATATTGCCGAAAAGCAAAAAGAAGAAAAAGAAAAGGAAGAAAAAGCCGAACGATACAGAAGGGCCAAAATTACCGACCCGCTCGATATTAAAACCGATTTTCGTTCAATTGGCGGGCTGAGAGAAGCGATTGCTGAATGTAAAAATAACGCCTTGGCCATAAGAGAGAAAAATGCCAATTTAAAATCAAAGAAATGAATTGCCCAGCCAAGGCACATGCTTCTTTATGGTCCACCCGGCACCGGAAAAACTTTGTTAGCCAAAGCCATTGCCAAAGAGTCAGGTTCTTTCTTTCTTAACCTTAACGGAAATGATTTTGCTACTAGTTTAGGGCAAGAATTCGGCAATATAAAAGGTCCAACGACAGAAGAAAAAATCAAGCAAGTTTTCGATATCGCTATCCAAGAAGCCGAAGGAAAAACTATTGTGGCTTTAATTGACGAAATTGACCACATGGGCGGTGGCTTTCGGCAGGTTGGTAGAGAATTACAAAATATTTTAAGCGGGGTGGATAATCGTTATGAAAATATCGTAATTATTGCTACTACTAACTGGTTGAGTAGCCTTAGTCCCGCTCTTCTGCGGTCCGGAAGAATCAACAAAAAAATCTTGGTTAGTTATCCCAAAGGAAAAGAACTCCTCCAAATTATTGAGAAAGTTTTGGGTGATTATCACGACGAGAGGTATGACGACGTTCCTGAACTTTTCGGTAATCTTTCCCGGCAAGCTTTTATCAATAAATTTGCCAAAAAAATTAACGACGAAATGAACCAAACTAAATACCTAATAAAATACGGGGACATGAGAATTAAAAGTGATAAACTAGACCCCGAAGATGGTCGAATCTTATTCACCGGGGCGGATGTTTGAAGTGTAATTGTCGAAGAAGCCCCCTCAATTGCCAACGGAAAAGGGCGAAAGACATTGCAAGAGAAAGATCTTACTGACGCAGTTGAAAAAGTATATAAAGGTAATCGTGCCGACGGACGATGAATTTGGTCTGCTAAGGAATACATTGAGGAAGAAATTGGAGCTTCCCAAGACCAAGATGAAGAGCGAAAACCAAGAGAAAATGGTCCACCGCCAAGGTGATAGACTAAAAACCATAATATAAGGAAAAATTTCAGGTGGCAGGCGTAGTTCAACGGCTAGAACACCGGCCTTCAGATCCGGTAATGCGGGTTCGATTCCTGTCGCCTGTGCCATTTATTGCTGATATTTTGCCGAAGAAAAATCATTTTGCTAATTATGAGCACAAAGAACGGAAAGAAACGAAAAAAGCAAAATGAGGAAATATTTCATTTTGAAAGGAAAAGAACCAGTATTGGAAAAAAAGAATATAATTTAATAATCGGTCGTCATTGCTTAATGAAAAATCCGGATTATCTGCCGGGAGCCGTCAAAGAAGCCAGTAATTACGAAGCTAACGCCCTGATGATTTATTTAGGTGCTCCCCAGAATAGTTTCCGCCAGCCTTTAAATGTTTTAAAAGTTTCTGAGTTTAAGCAATCTTTAAAAGAAAACAATATTGATATTAATCATGTTGTCGTTCATGGTTCTTATTTAATTAATTTAGCGAACACGATCAAGCAAGAAGTGTTCAATTTTTCGTTGGAACTTCTCGAAAAAGAAATTAAGCGAATGGAAGAAATTGGTCTAAAAACTTTAATTTTGCATCCTGGAAGTTATTTGACAGCCACAAAGGAAGAAGGATTGAACCAGATAGCCCGGGGGCTTAATTTAGTTTTGGCAAAAAATTCCGCTGTCCGAATAGCCTTAGAAACCATGTCCGGCAAAGGGAAAGAATTGGGGATAACTTTTGAACAATTAAAGTTCATTCTTGACAAAGTTAACTGTAAAGACAAAGTTGGTGTTTGTTGAGACACTTGTCATTTATATAGTGCCGGCTATGACCTCAAAAATAATTTGGAACAAGTAATTGAAGAATTTGACCAAATAATCGGTTTAGATAAATTGTGAGTTATTCATATTAACGATAGTTTACAGGAACTAGGAGCCAAAAAAGACCGCCACGAAAATGTTGGTTACGGCCGAATTGGCTTGCTAGCCTTAAAAAAAATAGTTCACCACCCAAAACTCAACGGAGTAATCAAATTGTTAGAGACACCACGGAGCAGAGAATGTTACCGAGAAGAAATAAAGATATTGAAAGAGCAATAGTTGTTTAAAGTCCGATTTATTTGTTAGGTTAGTCAAAAAAATTTATGTTAATCATCATTTGGAAAGCAGGATTTTCGCTTTTGTCCAAATTCAACCTAAATTTTTCCTTCGGGTTCGCTTTGCGTCATTATTTTTTGCTGATTTTTCTTGGTTAAAACGCGAGCAATTTCCTTTCTGATTTTTTTAATTTGGTGAGTTTTTAGCAACCGACCAGCTTTTTGCTCTAATTTAAGAACAAACAAAGCCTCTCGCAATTCAGTTAAATTTGGCATTCCTAATTTTTTCTTGCTGGTTAATTTTGGTTTATTTGTTTTCATTTTATCAATAAAATAATGCTATAATTATCGTGGACTTTGTTTAAATGTTTTCTTATAAAGCAAAAGCCACTAAAACATTAGCACTATTTTTACCTTCTTTAACAGTAAATTTATATTGCTGATTTTCGGAAAGTTCGTCCAAGTTAATTTCCTGGCTGGGAAAGCAAAAGATACTTTCGCCATTACTTAATTCAAGGATTAGGTAATCATTACCATTCCTATCTTGCTTAACTATTCTTTTTTCAATAGTTGATTCTATCTCACGTGTATTCATATTATAATTTTTGGCAATTATATACAATTTTACACCAATTATCTTATTTTGCTTCTTTCCAACTTTTAGGCGGAGTAACTTTTAATAAAGCTTTTAAGACCTTGTTGAAGTCTTTTTTACTCATTCTTCCTTTTCCATTCTCATTCTTGTCAATAAGATCTTTTAAGTAATCTAAGTATTCATAGTCTAGTTTTACGCTGATAATGTTTTCTCCACCACACTCCGAACAATGTTCTAGTCTTCTTATAATTACACTTTTTTTTGGAAAGTATTCTAATGAAACACCCATATACTCCCCTTTATGGTGCTTTTCGTTTTTCATTCTATAACTATTTTTACCTGTTTACCTTATAATTTACAAACAATAAAACAAAAGATATAGTAAAAATATTAGGTAAATAATAAAAATGTATATATGAATCACCTTCCCTCCAATAGTTGTAAATGTTTAAAGTGTTCAAGGTTATTTGACCTCAATTATTTAAGTGAAATGGGTTTAAAGGGATTAATTAGAGAAGGTTGCTATTCTTGTCATAGCAAAAACCTAGCATGAAAAATAAGTGTTCCTCTTTCCGACTACCACGAAACAAAATTTGAATTTGTTCTTCTTACTGACAAGTGTTCTAAGTGTCAAGAAATGAAAATAATTGATATTCTTAACTGAGAAGAGCTCAATAACAAATGAGGACAACCAAAAGGTGCTAAGAACAAACAAGAGTTCATCGAGGCACTTGCTAAGGACAATAAAGAATTTATATTTAGCCCTTGTTATTGTTTATTTGTTAGAGAGAGAGAGAGAGAGAGAGAGAGAGAGAGAGAGAACAAAATCTTGAATTCTATGGACAATTGGAGGAGGTTTGCTCATAGCAGGAATTATTGGCTTAGTGGTTTACTTCTGGCGAAAAGGTAAAAAGGAGGTATAATTACGAGTTTGCGATGTGTTAGTTGATTTCTCAGTGGGAGCAACAAGTTAATGCGAAGTGGTTAAAACTATCCCGGCTTGTTGTTCCCACTCAAAATTTAACCAACGCAAGCAGAAGTTAACTCCTTATAGCTCAACCTCTTTCCCCCAGTAGAAGCGAGCAACAAATCAAATCTCTCCTGTCCGCTACATTTTCTCGTGTTAAATCTTAAAGTAAACTCGTCTATATACTTTTGCGAGTGTTTTCTACTTATTTGGTAGTAGGTGCCATAAATACCTCTTTTTAAATGAGACCAAACATTTTCTATTCGATTAGTAGTAGCTTCTCCATTGACATATTGCTTAGCGCTATGATTGACTACTTGGTGATTGAATATTTTGTCCAAACTACTATGCCTATATCATTCATCAGTGTAGACATTAGTTCCTTGCTTAACATTTTCTTTAATTATTGGTTCCAAAGTGTTTTGTTGAGTGTTAGGGACTACTCGGGCAATTAGCTCGCCATTTCTTTCTTTCATTCCTAATACAGGAATTTTATCTTTTCAGTTTCTGCCTTGGCATTTAGGAACTTTTTTATCTCAGTGGCGGTTTTTGTTTTTGCCACCGATAAAAGTCTCATCTATTTCTACAAAGTTTTCTAGCATTTTTTCACAGATAGGGCTTTTAAAACCAAAGCGCAAGCGGTGTAAGACAAACCAAGCCGACTTCTGAGTAAGCTTAGTATGCTTAGCTAGTTGACAAGAAGAAATTTCTTGGGGAGAAAAAAGAGACAAAGCCAGAAGCCACCTCTTTATTGATATTTTGGAGTTTCGAAATACTGTCAAAGATTTAGCAGTAAAATATTTGTTAGTATTCTTACACCTGTATTTATTATCCTTACACTTATAAACCTTGGAAGTAGGGTCAAAGGGAGAAGTTGGCGGCTTTCCATTTCAGATAATTTTTTCTAAGTAGTCTATACAATCTTGTTCGGTAGGGCTAGAATCTAAAAAATCAAAAAGGTTTCCGAAACTTGGTTTCATATATTTAAGTTTTAGTTGATTAAAGGCTAAGCTGAGTGGTTTTTAACTAAAACTATTATTAGAGACTGGTTGGACTTGTGGGTGTTATTTAAATATTCTTCCCCAGTTACCACCAACTAGTCTCTGTTTAACCTTTATATCCTTTTTAAAGAATTGGTGTAAAATTAGGGTGTTATACCGATTTTGTATTCTTTTCCGAGCAGGAATTTTTACTTTGTCGTTTTATAATTTAAGGAAGGAGCAGCGAAACCTAATCAGGCTTATGATTGGTCGAACTATTGATTGAATTAACCAGTTAAAATCAACTGTTTAGTTTGCTCAATTTCCCCAAAACTTTGAAATTCATTAAAAAGACAAAAAGTAAGAAAATTAACTTCTTTCTGCTGGTACTGGTTTTTTCCGGTGGGATTTAAATGACGAGGCAAAAAGTCAATAAACTCAATAACTTTTTTGATTTTATCGCTAAACTCTCTTAAAATGTCCTCGCGTTCGTGGCTACTTAACTCTTTTTCTAAGTGTTCTTTTTTGAGAAATTGCGGGGTAATTTGGAGAAAACCATAGTCACCCAAAATTATTGCTCTTTTAGTTTGGGTGGGCAAATCAGCTTTTTTACTGGTTATATTCGCTTCACTGAGGAATTTCTGGTAATAGTAAAATTGCTTAAAATCAGTGGCTTGCTTATTAATGCTACCAATCTTTTTTCAGAAATCACTATGTTCATTAATTCTACTGAAAATAACCGTGCGTATAAACCAAAACAAAATTATTCAGTGAATAAAACTGCTTAGTTCGGCGAGGGAATCAAAAATGACTTTGAGTAAGGGCACCGAATTAACTAAATTGGTAATCAAATTTCCTAGTTTGAAAAGGCTACTTTGACCGGATTGCTGACCAATTCGTTGCTGAGCGGCTTCTATCCGGTCGTGGATAAAAGGCAGCAAAAGGATAACCAAAGTAGAAAAAATTGCTATTTTGCGGACACAGGGGTCCTGTCAGATAAGAAAATTCTCGGTCCGGGGTTCATTAAGTTTTTTTGCCGAAAACCAAGTATAAAAGGAAATAAAGAGCAAAATTAAAATTAAAGTTTGGGCACTGATAAAGCAGAGAGTAAGCACAATATAACTAGCAATTCGTGCTAAACTGTTGAGAAAAAAGATTCAGCCATTGTAAAGGTAAAAAGTGTTATTTTCAATATATTTATCTCGCAGTTTCAAAATTAAGTTGCTTGAAACAATAATTATGTTTAGAAAAATGATTATTCAGATAAAAACCAAAGCGTAAAACAGTAAATTTTGGCGGTCAGTTAGATTATTTTCTCCTAAAAAAAACTCTTGCAAACTTTGGCCTTGGCTTCTAGTTAATTTTTGGTAAATCTTTCCGAAAATATCTTGGGAAATAAACTCCTTATTGCCAAAGAAGCCTCCGCAAAAGGCTAAACCAACTCCTAAAATAACTCAACCTAAAACCTTCCAAGCCAACTGGGAAAGAAAAGAATGAACAATTGCTCTATTACAACTTTTTTTCTTTAGCGAAAACATATTTAAAATTTTATTAAAAGTCACTCCACGAAAAATATTACGCAAATTTCCGAGGGAATTTTATTTGCTGTTTTACTGTAAATAGCAAGAAAAACAAAAATTAGCAATTAATTGAAGATAGTTATTATTTGTTAAAAATTGATTATAATAGAAACTTTGCTTTTGCTGAAAAAAAAATCTCCTTCGCTTCTGTGGTCTAGTGGTTTATGATTTGCCCCTGTCACGGGCAAGATCCGGGTTCGATTCCCGGCAGAAGCGCCATTTTACGAAAAATATGTCAGAAACAACAATCAATGAACCAAAATTACAATTACCTCTTTTACTAACGGACGGATTTTTTTTGTTTCCCAAATGTAATTATTCTTTACCGTTAACGAGAGAGAACGAAAAATTAAAACCAATTTTAATTCAAGCCTGAAAAGAGCATCAAGGTCAATTATTAATCGTTTCCAGCAAGGAAAAAGTTGCTGACCTTGGGGCAATTCAGAATTTGGATAATTTTTATTCTGTGGGAACCTGGGGGAAAATCATTTTAGATTTAACTTACGAAGCTGATGCGGAGTTGGTAATTAATTCGCTCCAAGAAATTCAATTAGAAGGATTAGAAAGGGTGCAAATTACCAATCCGCAAAAGGTTAATGATTTTTGAAAAAGCGAATACCAAATTTTAATGGAGCCAGAACAAAATCGGGACGAAAAAGTCTTAACTAAATTGACGGAAAAATTTATCGCTTATTTGCCCAGCATTCTAAAAAAAACTAATTTAGATTTTGCCGAGAAATTTCATTATTTGGCAATGAGCAACTTAGGCAATTTTATTGATTTTTTGGCACAAATCAGCCAAGAAATGCCTCGTCACAACAAACAAGCAATTTTGGCTAGTGTCCATTTGCCTCAAAGATTAGATTATTTGTTAGAAATACCTCCGAAAGAAAATGAGCAAAAATCCGTGGACAAGGACATCAACAGTCGGGTAAATAGCGAAGCGAAAAAAGACGAAAGAGTTTACCGATTACGGAAAATAATTAGTGAAGCCCAAAAAGAACTCCAAAAACTAGAAGGTTCAGATACTGGCAACTGGGAGCAAAAACATTTACAAAGGTTAGAAAAAGAGCCCTTTCCTCAGGAAGTAAAAACGGTGGTTCGTGAACAAATCGGACAATTGAAAACCATGCCTCCACATTTTGGAGAAGCTCACATTATTCGTAATTATGTTGAACTTTTAATGGCCCTTCCTTGATTGCCAACTCAAGTTACTCCAGAAAATCCGGACCTAGAACAAGCCAAAAAAATATTAGACCAAGAACATTTTGGCTTAGAGAAAATTAAAAAAACGATTGATACGCAATTGGCGGTTATTCAGCACACCGGTAAGGTCGCGGGGCGGATTATTTGTTTTGCTGGTCCGCCGGGAGTAGGAAAAACTTCCTTAGCCAAATCCATCGCTAAAGCCATGGGGAGAAAATTTGCTCGTATTTCGGTTGGCGGAATAAGAGATGTGGCAGTAATTTTAGGCTTTCGGCGAACTTATGTTGGGTCTATGCCAGGAAGAATTATTCAAGCATTCAAAAAAGTAGGAGTAAAAAACCCGGTGATTTTACTAGATGAAGTAGACAAAATTAATAATTTAAGTGGTTATCAAGGCGATCCTTCCTCGGCTCTTTTAGAGGTTTTAGACCCGGAGCAAAATAAGAACTTTGTCGACCATTATTTAGAAATTCCCTTTGACTGTTCCCAAGCCTTTTTCATTTGCACCGCTAACTATCTATGGAATATTCCGAAAGCTTTGCGAGACCGAATGGAAATAGTTTCATTATCCTCTTACACCAGCATTGAAAAGTTAGCCATTGCCAAAAATTATCTTATTCCAAAAAATTTGGCAGAACATAAACTAGAACCATCGCAAATTATTTTTCTCGAACAGAGCATCGAATTCATTATCAATCATTACGTCAGAGAAAGCGGAGTGCGAGAATTAAACCGCTTGATTAAAAAAATTATTCAAATTTTTATTAAGGATTTAGTGCAAAAAAAAGTCAAAAAACTACCAGTAAAAATTACTCCCAAACTAATTCAAAGTGAACACTATTTAGGCAAAATTATTTACGATTTTACCCGCAAAGAAGAAAAATCCCAAACCGGTTTAGTCCACGGTTTAGCTTGGACAGATGCTGGAGGCGATATTCTCTGCATTCAAGTTATTTGTTCCCAAGGAGAGGAAGAAAAAGGCAAATTAACCAAGCCCACTGGTCATTTAGGGGAAGTAATGAAAGAATCAGTGGAGGTAGCTTTTAAGTACGTCAAAAAATACATCACAGACAATTACGAAAAATTTGAAAAACTGGGGATTAATTTGAAAGTTTTGCGAAGTAGCGACATTGATATTCATGTTCCCGAAGGAGCTACTCCTAAGGATGGTCCCAGTGCCGGCATTACGATAACGACGGCCATTCTTTCGGCTTTAACTAAGCAAGCAATTCCCAATGACGTTGGCATGACCGGAGAAATTGACTTGCTCGGTAACGTACTCCCGATTGGTGGTTTACGGGAAAAGGCGATTGCTGCCCACCGTTCAGGTTTAAAAACGATTTTTATTCCCCAAAAAAATGAGAAAGACCTAGAAGAAATTCCTGCCGAAATAAAAAAGGATTTGACAATTATTTTAGTAAAGGAATATGAGCAGATTTGGGAACATTTGTTTCCCTCGGTACCTACTTCCGCCGCTGAGGAAAAAGCTTGTGTTTCTCCCGCTGCTTAAATAAAAATCGATTCGGAACTGTCGCCAAGTGGATTAAGGCCGCAGTCTGCAAAACTGCTATTTCGTTGGTTCGAATCCAACCAGTTCCTCCAAAAATTTTTCTTGGTAGCTAAAAGCAATCATTTCATTTTTGGCTAATCCTTTAACAATAAATTAGAATAAGTGTATTTTGGTTGGGTTATTAATTTTGTATTCATAATTGTTTGTATTTTCCTTTCACAAGGTAACAATTGGTAAGGGAAAAGTGTAAAAAAAATGGGTAGAAAGGGGAAAAAAGGCTATTCAAAGCAAAAAAGAATTTATCTATAAGACAAAGGTTGAATTTTTTTTTTGAGACTTTTATGCAATAACTTCTTTGCTTGCTCTTCATCATAATTGCTTTGTAAATTTATCCAAAAAGTCGGAGCAGTTTCCGGGATGGTAAATAATGGGGTTTTTCATCATGATATTTAAATTTTCCTCAACCAATGCTAAATTATCTTTAATTCTCACAAAGTCTCCATAGCGAGTGATAATCCTATTGGTCAAGATGCTTGGATTATTTTTTTTTATATGCTACGAATTTGTTTTTTATTTTTAGTGATTGGCATTAACCTTCATCTATCCGTTTGAGGAATTATTTTTTGTTGATTACGGAAATTTTGTCCTTGCCTTTGGGTTTTTTGTTGGCTATTTTCCTGGCGCCATTCTCGAATTTTTTGGTGGTTGCCTGATAATAAAACGGCGGGAACCTCTTGCTTTTCAAAAATAGCAGGGCGGGTATAAGTGGCAAAATCGAATAAATTCTCGGTTAGCAAAGTTTCATTTTGGTATACCTCGTTAGAAAGAACTCCTGGCAAAGCCCGAATTAAAGTTTCGGTGATCAATAAAGCCGGTATTTCTCCACCACTAGTGATAAAATCACCTACGGAAATTTGTTCATCAACATAATTGAGAATCCGTTCGTCCAATCCTTCATAATGACCGCAAATAAAGACTAATTTTTTATTTTGAATCAGGCGCTTGACATCTCTTTGGGTGAACCTTTTCCCTTGGGGAGAAAGCAAAACAACATAACAATCTTTTCCATAGTTTTCGTAAACTGCAGCCAAAGTTTTTACTAAACAATCAATTTTCAAAAGCATTCCTGGTCCACCACCGTAAACGTAATCGTCTACTTGCCCCCGAATGGATCAATCTCTAATATTATAGACCTGGTAATTTAAGCAGTCTTTTTGAAGTGCCTTTTTTGCCATAGAGATTTGAAAATAAGTATGAAAAATTTGCGGAAATAAAGTAAGATAAATAAAATTAATGCTTGACATGGGTCTCTATAAGAGAATTTTTAGGCTTGCTATGGTAAACTTAGGCTGTTTCCTTAACACATGTTTATAATAAATAATTTATTTCTCCCTGTTGAGGAGTTTTCTTATTTATTTTGGTCATCTTCGAGGGTTTCTTCTCAAACTGCTAACTCCTCTTTGAGTTTTTTGTTTTTCGCCATCGCTTGATAACCGCAAGCTAGTTTTTGCTGAAATTCTTTTTGTTCTCTTTCTAATTTTTTTTCATAAATATCCAATTATTTAACAATCACTCTTTCTGCAAACCCACTAAATTTACTATATATTACAATGCTAAAAACTAGTGTCAGTGTTTAAATGATTTTTGCTATTTATTCTTACAATTTTTACAAAGGGCAGCACTTCAAGGCATTTTAAACCAAATTCTTTTGCCACATTTTACATAATAAGTTTCTTTACTCATCTTTTCCTCCTATGGTAATTTCATCTCTTTTTTCTCTATATGTGAAGTATCTGTTGGCTCCTCACATAGCCATTTCTAATTCAGCCTTTTTTACAGGGTCGTTTAAAGCTTCAAGGAATTGAACTGCTGATGAGTTTTCTAAATGTTTTTTTCCATCTTCAATGATTTCTTGATTTATTGCTTTTTTATCTGATTTCTTTCAATCAGGTTTTTTCATATTTCAATTCATATATTAAATTTTACTTTACCATTGTTCTTTACACTATAAGAAATAAAAAAACAAGTTCTACATTTCTACTGATATGTTATGCTGTTGTTTGTTTATAGTAATCTGACTTGTCAAAAAGTCCAAAACCTCGATAATTACTAAAAAGTTTTTGTTTGTTAGGTTTAACTAGTTTAGCAAAATCTTCTCGATAATATTCAAATCACTCTTTAAGACATTGCCGACACAAGACTTCGAACTTGTTTCATAATTTGCCCTCGGTTCAATAGGATACTTGATTAATTTGACTTCAATTTTGCTTTGGAATTACTCACTTTTGGACAAAATCTTTTTTACATTTATCACACTTAATAATTCTTTTCATTGTAGTGTATATAATAATTTTAGTCTTTAACTCTCTAAATCCAAACCAACGACATAATGCTCCTCAATCCACTTCTTCACCACAGCACCACAATGAGAACAATTAATTATCTCTTTTTCGTTAGCCTCTATTCAATTTGTTAGTTCCTTTCTCTCTAACTCATCAAGATAAATGGTTCCGTTGACTATTTTAGCTGTTCCCCTTATTTTATTCACTAGTTTATAAAACTCTTCACAGCATTTGTTAATTTTATTATTTAGCATAATACAAGTCTATAATATTAATTTTACTTTTTTACTTAATAAAATGTTTATATTATGTAATAATATAAAAAAACATTAAAAATATACCATGGAGATAATTAATAACAACCCAATAAATTTAGATGTTTGGCATTTAAAAGAATTACATCAACAAGGTTTTACTTGAAGCAGATTAGCCAATATTTATAAAAAAAGTAAGAAAAAAATTTATTTGTTGCTGAATTTTTTCTCTAGCCAGTTTTGTTAATTGGCTTTTGCTCATTAAGAATGTTTGTGAAAAAAATCTCGCACCCTACTCTGATTCAATGGGTCCACCTCCTCCTGATGAAGACGATGACGATTTTCCACCAATATGTATAATTCTTTAATATGGTTGATAACAAGTCTTGAATAAGAGGTTGGTTAATACTTTTTCTTGTTTTGTTGATAAAATTAAAAATCATTTTGGGAGTTTCTTTACAAAAAACCATTTATAAATTTCCCTTACTTCTTGTATTTCTTTTAATTTGTTTAATCGGACCCATTATTGAAGAGTTTATTTTTCGTTATTTAATCTTTAAATATTTTGATAAGAATACTTGAACTCCTTATTTGTTTTCTTTTTTTAGTTTTGTTTTATGGCATATTAACGAAGGGAATTTTAACTTTACTACTGCCGAAAGCTTTTTTATTCCTTTTGCCTATTTTGGAGTTTCTGCTCTTTGCTTTATTTTCATTTACAAAGAAACTAATTGAAACTTGTTTTTTCCTATTTTGCTTCATTGTTTAGGAAACTTCTTTATACTTATCTCGAAACTACATTAAACGAAACACAAATTTATTTTTTTTACTCTTCATTCTATCTTTTTTATTTTTCGCTATTTTTAACAAGTTTTTTTTAGTTAGTTTGCTAGCTTTTTTCTTGTTAGGATGGCGTTTTTATTATTTTTTATGGTTTTATATGTATAGTTATCCAATTATGGTTTAAATAAATTTTAAGTTTAAAATATAAAATCAAATTCTGAGTTATAAAGTGAAATAAATTTGACTTAAAAGCCCATATTTGAGGAGGAGAGATTGGAATAAAATATGGAAAAAGTTCTTAAAGATATCTGAACCACTGGCGAAACTAAAGATACCTATGGTTTGGATTTGAATTGGATCAAGCCAAGAAAACTAAAAAAATGCGTTCTTTATAATTTTGGGATGGGCTTCTTTTCGAACGAATTTGCCAAAAATTCTCTTTTTACGTAGGAAGTAAAATGCAAAGAACCAGTAATTATTCCTATTTTCTCGCTATCTAATAAGGAATAAAAGGAAAAAAATGCTTTTGAACAATCAACTATTTTGCGAAATTTAACTGTATTACGCTGTTTCAGTTGGCTAATTTCTTGCCGGCGAGAACTGGGCATTTCGGTAAAGATGATTTGGCAAGCAACTTTTTTTAAAGCGTCTAACATTTTATTTACTGGTTTATCTTTCATTATGGAGACTAAAAAAATAGGTTTTTTGGTAGGAAAAAAAGTTTTAATTGCTTGGATTAGAGATTTAATTCCCGCCTGGTTATGAGCACCATCTAAAAATAGCAAAGGTTCGCGGCTTACTAATTCCATTCTATTTGGTCAAAAAGTTTCTTCAATTCCTCTCTCGATACTAATTTGGGTAATTTGGGGAAAATATTGCTGTAAATAAAGAGCCATATGGACGGCTAAACTAATATTTTTTATTTGGTGTTGACCAAGCATTTTAGTTTTTAGATTAAAAGCGTAATTTTTAGTAGTTAAGCAAAAACTCGTCATTAATTCATTGCTAGCGAAAGTAAATTTTTCCGGCAAGGAGATTTTGGACAATTGGCTTTGCTTCTTCTGAGCCGTTTTTCGGAATAGTGAAAGAATTTGTGGCCGGGTTTCAGTAGTGAAGCAAGGAGCACCTTTTTTGATAATTCCGGCTTTTTCTTGGGCAATACTCGGCAAAGTATTTCCTAAATAATGAGCATGGTCATAAGCAACATTAGTAATCCCGCAAACCAAAGGGAAAATTACATTAGTAGCATCATACTTTCCACCTAATCCTACTTCGTAGATTACTAAGTCAACTGGTTTTATTTCCGCAAAGTAATATAAAGCAACAATCGTTACAAATTCGAAAATTGTTGGTTGGAGTTTGCTTTCTAACTTGCCTATTAGTTGTCGGGTAACCACAAAAAAATCTTGGTTAGAAATAGAAATGCCATTAATTTTAATTCTTTCGTTTCAATCATCTAAATGTGGGCTAGTAAAAGTGCCAATTTTTAATCCTGAATTTTGGAGAATAGAAGCTAAAAAAGCGACTGTCGAACCTTTGCCGTTGGTTCCGGTAATATGAACTGTGTTTTGTTTTTTTTCAGGACGATTAAGAAGTCGGCAGGCTAATTTCATCCTTGCCAATCCTAAATCCATTCCCTGACGAATAAATTGCTTTTCTTTTAATCAATCAAGGCACTCATTAATATTGCTAAATTTAGGAATAAAGTCCGCTGCCATATAATTTTTTACTTTTAAGTTTTATGATTATTTAATTGCTAAAATTTGAATCTGGGATTTATTTTTCCCTGGTTTAGCAAGAATATCACCAACTTTTTTTCCCAATAAACTTTCACCAACCGGGCTATAAAGAGAAATCTTTTGGGGCGGGCTCGCTTCCACTGTATCAGTTATTTCCACCGTTTCTTCTTCTCCGGCGGTTAATATTTTGTAAGTAACTACACTTCCTAATCCGACCAATGATTTATTATTGTTTTTTTGGCAAATTTCGGCTCTTTCCAACAAAAAATTTTTTTTTCGTATTTCTGTTTCTGTTTTTCTTAATTTTTCTAATAAAGCCCAAAAATCGCCGTTTTCAGTAAGGTCAGAATCAAAACCAGACAAGCCTAAATTTTCGGCAATTTCTCCTCTAGTTTTTTCTAAATCTGCTACTTCTTTTTGTAATAAAGAATAACTTTCGGGAGTAATTTTGTTCTTTTTCATATTTGTTTCTATTGCGGAACGGACAAGGTCATAGTAATTATTTTTAACATAGTCAGAATTTTTCACCATCATTTTTATTATTATACTTGAATCTAAAATTAATAAGCCAAGAACAAAAATTAATTTAATGAGCAAAAGGGCTTTTTACCTTACCACCCCAATATTTTATCCAAATGATAAATTACATTTAGGACATGCCTATTGCCTGACTATTGCTGATATTATTGTTCGCTACAAAAAAATCCAAGGTTACCAAGTTCATTTGCAAACCGGCAGTGACGACCACGGAGAAAAAATTGAAAAAAAAGCTCTCTCTTTGGGTATCAGCCCCCAAGAGTTAGTTGACAAAAATGTTTTTCTTTTTCAACAATTATGGAAAGAATTAGGAATTTCCGAACACATTTTCTACCGCACCTCCTCTCCTTTTCATAAAGAAAAAGTTCAAAAAACCTTTACTAAATTATTAGAAAAAGGTGATATTTATTTAGGCGAATATCAAGGAAAATATTGCGTTGCTTGTGAGGATTATGTTAGTGAAAGCAAAATTATTAGCAACAATCTTTGTCCCAATTCTGATTGCCAAACTGAATTACGAAAAATCAATGAACCAGCTTATTTTTTGAAAGTCAGCAAATATTATTCTCGTTTAAAAGAACACTACCGGCAAAATCCGGGTTTTCTTTTACCTGGCAAAGCCAAAAAGGAACTTTTTAGCAATTTCTTAAATGAGAATGTTCCTGATTTATGTATTACCCGTAGCGATATTAAGTGCGGAATTTCGGTTCCCAATAAGGAAAAAATGGTGATTTATGTCTGATTTGAGGCTTTGCTTAATTACCTTAACTCTGACCCGGGAGAAAAATTTTTTCTTTCTTCCTTTTCCGCATTTAATGATAAAAAAATCAACCACGCGAAAGAAGTCGCCTGCGTAGCTATCCAGAACAAAAATAATGATTATCTTTTGGTTTATAATAAAAAATATAACAAATGGCAATTTCCCGGTGGCAAATTAGAGAAAGGAGAAAGTGCTGAGGAAGCTGCTAAAAGAGAAGTATTTGAAGAAACCAGCTTAGTAATCGAGGATTTAGAAAAAATTGGGGAAGAAAATTTTTACGCTAACAATATTTGGTGAAAATTTTATTTTTATCGAACAGAAAAATATTCGGGGGAATTATTAATTAAAGAAAAAGAAACAATCGGGGAAATTAAGTTTTTGGAAATAAGTAAAATACAGGGAATTAACTCCCAAGACCCAGATGAAGTAAATAAATACTTGCTGGAAAAATTAACCGCTTGCGAAATTGTTCATCTTATTGGGAAAGAGATAACCCGCTTTCACGCAATTTATTGACCGATTATTCTTTTTTGTCTGAGTAGACGCTTACCAAGCAAGATTTTAGCCCATGGTTGGCTGACTACTTCCCAGGGAAAAATGAGCAAAAGCAAAGGAAATGTTGTTGACCCACTAGAATTGCTAAAAAAATATTCAAAAGACCCATTACGTGCCTATTTTGTGGCCAAAATCAGTTTTTTGAAAGATGGAAGTTTCAGTGAAGACTTGCTAAAAGAATTTTACCAAGATTTTTTTATTCATAATTTAGGTAATCTTTGCCAGCGAGTAGGAAAAATGATCGAACTATACAACGATAGCGTTATTCCTGCTTTTGCGGAAACGAAAAACACTCATTTAAAGAACTATTACCAAAACTGCTTGACAATTATTAAGAATTACCAGCAAAAAATGGATAATTACCAACTGACTAATGCCTTTCAGGAAGTTGAGAAATTATTAAACGTTAGTAACAAATTAATTCAAGAGGTTGAACCTTGAAATTTGTTGAAAAATAAAAAAACAGAATTGTTAAATTTAACGCTGAATTATTTAATTAATGGAATCAGAATCATTGCCTTTCTTTTAACTCCGATTGCTCCTGACAGTAGCCAAATTATTTTTGAGTATTTGAATTTAAAACGTAGTGATTGAAATTGAGAAAACATCAAAGATTTCAAGAAAATTGCGAATGAAAAGATAAAGCCACTAAAAAAGCCTTTATTTATTCCTCTATAAAATTTACATGGCTTTTTCTTCCATAAGTTTTTTTCCGCTTTATTGGTTTCTCTGCTTGTTTTTTCTATTACTGACTAAAGGAAGACGCTTTGGCATTCTTTGCTGACGCTTGGGGTGATTAGTTTAGTTGTGGTCGCTATTCTTGCTTTTATGGGATGGTATTTTTGAAAAAGAAGGAAAAAGACAAGTAACTACTTATTTTGTTAATGGAATGCTATAAGAACTATTTTCATCAGATTAAGCCATTAGTAAATAAAATTCTTTAATTTGCACTTGATTTTCGGCCAAATAGTCTTTAATCTTAGTTTCTGGATCACGGAAATTGCTTTGTTCTAAAAAAACAAGCGTTAGTTAATTGTTTATCCAACTTGCCCTGCACAATTTTTTGAATAATCTCTGGCTTTTTTTCTGGATTTTCTTCTTGGGCTTGGGCTAAGAATTTTTGCCTTTCTTTTTCCCAAATGTCTCGGGGAATACTATCCAGTGAAAGAAATCGTGGTTTGTTAGCTACTATTTGAAGGGCTAGTTCATGGGCAATTTCTTCATTTCCTCCTTGAATTAAAACCAAAGCCCCAATTTTTTTATTATGGTGAAGGTAAATTCCTAGTTTTTCCTGGTCTTTTTGCTGAAAAAAGCGACATTTTTCTAAATTAATTTCTTTGTCTTTTGTGATTAATGATAATTTATCTAATAATTCCCGAGCGGTTGAGGGTAACGCCCAACTACTTTTTCCGTAGAGATCAGAAAAATTATCTAAAAGAATGTCTTCGATTTTTGCCACCACCTCTTGAAATTGTTTATTATCTGAAGGAATAGAGGGATCCTTATAAGTAAGCAAAAAAGCCACTATTTTCTTTCCTTTTTCTTTAATGCCTACAATACCAAATTTTTGCTTTTGTTCTTCGCCTCCTAAATCTTTCCTAAAAAGTTTGGCTTTTTCTTCTAACCATTGGTGGGCTAATTGTAAGTCATAATTATTTTTCTCCAAAGCTTCTTGACAAAATTTAATACTAACTCCTTCCATTTGCGAACGTAATTCTTTTAATTTTGCTAATTTTTCTGTATCCATATAAGTTATTTTTGCTAAATTTAGTTTTATTCCGAACCAGTATTTTACCCAGTAATTTTTGGGCTAATTCGACTGTGCTGATCATTACATAATACAATTTTTTAGTGATCACAAAAGAAAATCCATAATGTGGTTAAGCAATGCGGTTCATTAAAGTTTCGCGAGGCTGTAAAGAGTTCTAATCAGCGTTACGTAAACATTTTAAAATTAAACAAAAAACTTGCTTTGAAAATTAATAAAAAACATCATTATTTCCATTTTTTAAAGACTAGCTCATCTTTAGATCTCCTTCAAAAAAAATGTAATTCTTTAAGTTAAATTCACTAATTTTTGAGTAAGTTATCTTGAAACCATCTAGCAAAGAGTTAAAGACTTCAAAAATATTGTTCCTATTCTCTAACAAGTATTCATAAATGTATTTTCTGTGAGTAGGATTTTGAAAACTTAAAACATGTATTGCTTTACTAACCTTATAATCTTTTTCAACCAAAACAACTTTTTGCTTAGAAGGAGTTAAAGAAGAAATTAGAATGTCTCCTTTTTTTGCGATTCTATAAGAAGTTTTGCCCTTCTTAAAAGAACCAGTAATTTGATTGTTTTGAAGATTTCCGATTTCAACATATTCGAGATTTTCTATATAGTTTGCACCTAAGTCATTAATATTACATTTGTTAATTCAACAAGAAATATCCTTTAAATAAAACCCTTTTTTATTTTCAGGTCTTTTATACCGAGGATAAATAACATAATTCTTTTTTTCATCTTCTAAGATTATTTCACTTATTAAAACTGTCCTGGAGTTGCTATCAGAATAATGCGCTTTTTTATTCAAAAAAAAATTGTTAACATGATTAGAATATTTTTTTACAAGATTGTTATTTAGTATTTTAATTCCACTTTTGTTTCTTGATTGGCTAAATTCATAGCCTAAAAATTCTCTTTCTTTTTTTAATGTTTCTTTCGTATTCTTAGAAGCTAGAAACATCTTTGGCGAATTAACCAAAAAGATATTATAATTTAAATCTTCGCTCAAGTGCTTGCTAATTTGTATCTTTTTTTTTAAAAAAAGAATGCAAGGCGAGGTGGTAGTATAACCAAAAGTGCTATCAGCGCTACAAAATAACGACAAAATCTCAAATCTTTCTAACAGCCATTTCCTAGTTTTAGCATATTTTTCTTGTGATAAAAAAGTTTGTGGCAATATTATGGCTGCAAATCTATTTTTTTTCAGTAATTGATAGGTTCGTTCGACAAATATTATTTCTATTCTAGCATCTTTTTCGTTAATTTCTTCAAGTAATTCAAAAGTGTCGTCTTTTTCAGAAATATTATTTTTTCAAAAATTTTTCATATAACCCTGCACAGAATAAGGAGGATTAGAAACAACAAAATCAAATTTTTCATTCTTATTTTCATTAGAAGATAGTATTGTCTTTTGATAATTTTCACAAGAAAATTTATTAATGCCGTCAGCATGCAATATTTTTGCCTCACCATCACCATTTAAAAACAAAGAAATTTTAGTTGTTTTGGCCAATCTATAGTCTTTCCCAATCCCAAAAACATAATCTTTAGCCCAAGAAAATTTAGTGGTTTTATATAAATTTAGTTTACTTTTTACGTTGCTAGTATAAGAATTGCTTATTTCTCAATCATCAATTTCTTGCTGAACCTTATTTATATAACTAATTAGAAAATGACCAGAACCGCAAGCGTAGTCAATAAAAAAAGGAAGTAGTTCATTTTTGTTTTGTTGAATGCTTTGTCCCAAAATATCGTTAATTGGTAGAGAATTTACCATAAAGTCAACAATTGGGTAAGGGGGTGAAAAACTGACCGGCCTCTTGTTTCAAAGATGTATTTAATAAATCTTCAAAGAATTCTCCTAGCGACTTCGACTTATCGGCATATCTAAATTTAAAACTGGCGAGTAAGTTAACTATTTCTTTAACAATTAGGCAGTTATCCTTAAATGTTTTGTTGTCAAAAACTTCAATAAAAGCAAAAGTATTGTCTTTTTTTAACCTTAAATCATCAACCATCTCTAAAATTTTTCGGCTCTTTTTTGAGTTTAAAAGAGTAAGTATTTCATAGTCAGAATAATCTATTATTTCTTTTTGCAAATACTCCCTCATTCCCTCCTTATAGAGATCATAAAGCCTCTTCATAAAACTCTCATCGGTGTCAATGTCAAGAAATTGGAACTTTAAACCTTCAAAGTTAATTATATCTTCTTCTTTTGTTCTTATCTCAAATTGCTTGTCTTCTCCTAGTTCATCAAAAACCTTAGCAATAAAGAGATTTATAATTTTATCAAAAGCATTAGATTTGTCAGAAATTGCATTAATTCTCAAAATAGTTAAAAATTGATTAAACAAAATTTTGGAATCCTTTTCTGAAATATCTTTTAGGTCTCGAAATTTTTTTCCACTGATTTTTATGCCAAAAGGTTGGGATAACAAAAGATTAGTCTCGTCAAATTGTTTGTTTCACCTGTCGATTAAGCTATCAACATTTAAAGAGTCAGATAGTTCGCCCTTCCCTAAATTTACATTATAAAAGAGATCTTTTTCTGAAATTAAATCAAAGGTATAATAAGAAGAAATTTTGGTAGATTTTTCTTGCCATAGATAAGAAAATAATTGCTTGACATATTTTTGACCAGGTTCTAAGTATTTTCGCAATTCTTGGGGAACTTTTAACAAATCAAAACTTTTTTTGAAGTTTTTTTCATCGTCAATAATATATTCACTATCAAATTCTTCCTTATAAGCTCCTTTGTTGTTTTGAAACTTAAATTCGCTCTCCAGTTCTTTTTTATCTTTCTCTGCTAGCTTCTGTAAATTCAAAAGGATTTTAATACTTTCTTTTTTAGAAACAAGAGAAAGAAGCAACTTTTTGTTATAATAATAAATGTAAGTCATGTACCCGCTTCCAAAAACATTCATGGCTTTTTCGCGCAAAGAAGAATGAGATTTTTTTAGATAATCACTTAATTCTCTTATCCTCTTTTTCGTGTCTATTTTTAGCATTTGATTTGGTTTTTCAACTGCCCCTTTCTTTTTTCTCCTTGTGTTTAATTTCAATAATTCTTTGTCGTCAGTTTCTACATAAAGGTGTTTATCTTCTTTTATTTTTACACATCCTATTTTAACCAAACTGGCAAGTCTTTTTAATTCCTCGCCTTCGTATTGAGAACTAACCAAGACTATTTTTAATTTTCAATTATATTTAGAAATATCCACTATCGCTCTCTCGTTAGTTTTGGCATAGTATTCGTTAACCGCTTCTTCTACCAACTCACTTTTTTGGCTGTCATTTAAGGATTTTATGTATTTTAAGATTTGGTTTAGTTTATCACTTTCATTTTCTAACTTGTATTCAATGATAACAAAACTTTTATTGTTTGGGTTGAAAGCAATTGTATCAAAAAAACTATTTTTTCTTACTTGATATTCTTTTACTAAAAAATGAAGGGAAGGAAAAATTTTATTTAAGTTATCATTTTCAGCAAAAAAATCCCTCATTTCTGCTTCTTTGGAAAAAATTTCGGGTTTTAAATCTACTTCCTCTATCTCCTGGTTTTTTTCTAAAATTTTTTTACTACTAGTTAGTTTCAATAATTTAAACATATTAACAATTTTAATCCTTACTTTTCAACTGCGGAAAAGCAATTACTTCCTTAATACTATTTTGACCGGTAAATAACATAATTAACCTATCTATTCCAATACCTAATCCGCCGGCCGGTGGCATACCATATTCTAAGGCTTCCAAAAATTCCTTATCAAAACTAGCAATTTCTTCATTGCCTAACTCTTTTTGTTTAGTTTGTTCTTCAAATCTTTTTTTTTGTTCGATTGGGTCATTTAACTCGCTATAACCATTCGCAAACTCTAATCCTCCGATGTATAATTCAAATCTATCTGCTATATCTTTATTGTCTGTTTTACTTTTGGCTAGTGGCGAAACTTCAATTGGATAATCATAAATAAAAGTCGGTTGAATTAATTTTTTTTCGACATATTCTTCAAAAAAAATCAAAATAATCTGTCCGATGCTTTTTTGAAAATTTTCTAGTTTTAAGTTATGCTTTTGGGCTAATTCTAATGCTTTTTCTAAACTATTTACTTTTGTGAAGTCTATGTTTACATGCTCTTTAATCGCTTCCGTCATTGACATTCTGCGGAAAGGTTTTTGGAGATTGATAACTTGAGAATTAAATTCAAACTCTTCTTTTTGGAGAACTTCCTGGGTTAAATAATGAAATAATTCTTCGGTCAAGTTCATCATACACTCAGCATTTTCATAACTTTGATAAATTTCTACAGTAGTAAATTCTGGATTATGGCGAGCATCAATTCCTTCATTACGGAAAATTCGACCAATTTCGTAAACTTTTTCCAAACCACCAACTAAAAGCATTTTCAAGGGTATTTCCGTAGCAGTTCGTAAGTAAAAATCTCTTTGTAATTTATTATGATGAGTAGTAAAAGGCTTAGCTTGGGCACCTGAGGCAGCCGAAACTAAAATTGGTGTTTCTACTTCAACAAATCCTCGCTGGTTCAAAAATTCGCGAATACTGTTGATAATTTGAAACCTTTGAATTAAAATTTTTCGGTTTTGTCGATTAATAATTAAGTCCAAATAACGTTTGCGAAATCTTTCCTCAATATTGGCAAAACCGTAATGTAAATCTGGCAGGGGCTTTAAACATCTGTTTAAAAGAACAAAATCGTTTACTTTAATGCTTAATTCTCCTTTTTGACTTTTGCAAACCACTCCTTCAATACCAACGATATCGCCAATATTTATCTCTTTAAATTTTTTGTTTTGGCTGAACATTAATTGAATAATTGCTTCTTGGTCATTTAGTAAAGCAAAGATTAGCCGCAAACGCAAAATTCTTCCGGCAACCCTTACTTGAACCTTTTTTTCGGCTAATTCTTCCCGGGAAAAGTGAAAAAACTGCTGAATAATAGTTTGCAGATCAATATTTCGCAAAAATTTAGTTATTTGAAAGGGGCTTTGGTAGTTTTTTTCTTGTTCCTGCAGTTTTTTTTTTCTTAATTCTTCTTCGGAGTCCATTTATGAAAATTTTTACTATTCGTTGAAAGCAAATTTTAAAAATAACTAAAGAAAAGAAATTACACTAACCAGAGAGCAAATAAATAAACCGGTATTATTAAAACCCAAGGTCATTCTTGCGGTCAACGGCGAAAGTCATCAAACATTATTTTTTATCACTTTTTACACCAGCAAAAAAGTTGAAAGTCTCGCCAAATACGAGACAAAAGCCAATTTTAACCTTTTTAAACACTACCATTTTTTTCCTCTCCCGCCGGTAAGAATTAACCTTTCTAACTTTTATCTTTTTACTTTTTTATAATCATGTTTATTTATTTCAATTTCTCAAGCTTCGTTATTTTCTCAAATGAAAAAAACGCGTCATTGTTTATTAATTCTAATGCTATAATGGTTTTTGGTTCCTTGAATTAGTTCTAAATCAAGACCAGGAAACTTATCAAAGTCTTTTTTGTTTCTAGCACTAGCGGTTAATTCTAAAATCTGGCGAACATCATTTCTGTTTTCAATTCCCGCTCACCGCTTAAATCATTCTCCTTTCATGTATTCCTCAACACTTTTCTTAAACCTTTTTAATTGAGGCATATTAATGATGCTTTTTTGCTGATAATGACTGCCTATGCCTACTATCTCCTCGGCTTTCTTTATAGGTATAAGGTTTGATTTCTTTTTTTAATAATTTGAATTTTCGTTCTTCCAACTCTTCTTCATAACTCTTTTGCAGGTTTAACCAAAGCTCAACCGAAGTATCAAAATAAATAGATAAGCGACGAGCCAAATCAGAAGTAACGTTAACTTTTCCTTCGCAAACTAATTTTAATTCTTTTTCAGAAAATTTTAATTCTTTGGCTAATTCAGTAGGGTTAATATTCAAGGGTTTTAATAATCTATCCCTCAATATTTCCCCTGGATGAACTGGGGGCAAACTATTAGTATTCATTAATATTTTCCTCCTTTGAAGGCAAGTTTAATTTTACTTCCATCATAATATTTATTTTTACTAGTTTTTCTTATATTATTCACGTATTATTTTATAGTAATACTCATATATTATCCTAGATATAGCAAAAAAAAGACTGAAAATTGCTAAAAATACTTATTATGGAAAAGGTTATTAAAAAAAATTTAATTGCTAAAAAGGATACCAAATCTTTAACTGTCAAACTTGAAATATCTAAAAAATTAGAACAACATCTCGCTTATTTAGAAGCAATTAGCAAAAGACCTAAAAGTTTTATTGTTAAAGAAGCTCTAATTCAATATTTAGAAGATGCTGAGGATACAGCTAAATATTATGAAGAAGAAGCAAAAAAAGGAAGCAAAACTCACACTACTGAAACACTATTAGAAAAAATTAATTTAAAAAAAATCAGTGTATAAAGTAAAGTGAAAAAAGAAAGCTGAAAAAGACTTAGCCAAAATTGACCGAGTAATAGCTAAAAAAATTAGGTTTGGCGTAGAAAATGACTTAGTTAAAGACCCTTATGAGCAGGGCAAATCTTTAACTGGCAAATGAAAAGGCAAGCGAAGATATCGTTTTAGTGAATATCGAGTTATTTATGAAATAAAGCAAGACAAACTTATAATTTTAGTAATAAAAGTGGCACACAGGAGAGAAGTTTATTAACATTTTCCGGTCTGCTTTTTTGCCGCAAAATAAAATCTCTCCTAAGCGCGTGCACAAAAGGGAAAAGTCCCACCATTCAAGGGAAGAAACAAACAAAAAACCCTTATAGCAATTTTAATACTTAGTATTAACTTACATATAAGAGCCAAATAACCACCAATCCAAAAAAACTTTAATCACAAAGTGATTAAAAAAACCCGAGGAAGAACTCCCATCTCGTGAAGAACTGTGAAGTTCTGAACGAAGCAATTATAAATTCGTTTGGGAAATAAGAATTTATAGTTCTGAATAGAACGTGTTTTTTCGTAGTGGGAACGAAGAAAAAATGGACATTCTCTTTTAGAGAATGTTCCTCCATTAATTCTGCTTTCATCATTTAAAATTTTACTCAGAACTTTCAAAATCTGAACCCAAAATAAGTTTATCATTTTACGTTCGCTACCTCCTCGGCACCGAACGAGTGGGGGAGTTCTTGCGGCGCCTTTTTTCTACCTTTGGTAGAAAGCAATAAAAAAGCAAAAAAAATCCAACGAAAAAGCAAGTTAACGACAAAAGAGCCGACAAAACGACTCTCCAAGCAAGGAATTTTAGTGGATTGGATTTCCGCTTTCAAAGGATAGTATTAATTTTAAAGTTAATAGTATGCTTTTCTTCCAATTTCTCATTTGTAAAAAGT